CTTTCTGCGTCGTCTGCACTGGCCCGCCTCGCCCCGCAGGGGGAACCAGGCCGGCTCCGCACCTCTTGTGAACTCCGCGGACAACAAACCACCTCCCTCCCTCCCTCGTCGGCCCAAGGGAGCCTGCCTGGGCCACGGCTTTGTCTCTCAGCAGCCCCTTGCCCTCCCCAGTTCCATTTAACTGCCCCCCCATATACACATACGGCCCCCTTGTCACACACACAGAGATCCCCCTTCTCTCTCACACACACACACACACACCCCCCTTCACATACACCCCCCCTTGACACACATGCACATAGATCCCCCTTGCCACACGCACACAGCCCTTCACATACACACACCCCTTGCCACCGTGGGTGATGTGTATGGAGTGCACACAGGTGCACGTGCACCCTCTGAGATTGGCCACTGCCGGCGGCGCTTGTGGGCAGTCACCGCTTGCCGCCACCCCCCCACTGCCAACACCACCACAGCCACCTGCGAAAGCTCACCGCCAACACACCACTGCCTACAGGCAGTCACCATGCCCCCCACCAGCCTCAAGAGCCACATGATGTTCATGGTTGACACCCCCCCAACCCTGTTCACATACACACACCCCTTGACATACATGCACACACACCCCTTGACACACACACAGCCCCCTTCACACACAGACACCCCTTCATTTACACACTCCCCTTCACACACACACATACACATACCCTACACATACACTCCTTCACATACACACCCCCATTTACACACACACATACACACACAGCCCCCCTTTGAGGAAGAAGTAGGTTTTAACTGAATGTCCCTGACAAAAGGGGTCTCCCAAGGGATACATCCCTGTGACTAGCGGACTCTCCAGAAGACGCTCAGGGCCTGCTTTCTAGCCCTCCGAGCCTAAGTGGTGCCTTTGCGCCTGGTTCCAAGATAGGCATAGTACTTGGATAAGAAGAGGGAGTATGCCTAAATGTCTGTGACCAAATGGGTCACCGGTCACCACACATGGCACATTGCTGTGAGCAGGATTGTTGTAGAGAATGTGGGACCCAACCCAAAGCTTTGTTTTTCTAGGGACATGGTGCCCCACGAAGCATCCCTGGGCCTTGCTGCTAGGTGCATAGCATATGAAGAAGGAACTGCAGTTTCACTGAACATCTGGAACACATACAGTGGCTTTTGAGTGATGGTCATGGACAGGTCTTGAGCTGCCTGGCAGAGCATCTTGGGAGTTGGAAATCCAGTCTTCCCCCACAGCAATCAAACACCCTTGGCTTCTGTGCTCAGCCTGGCTGCCAGGAGAACCAAGGAACTACAGCTGTAGTACCTGTCCCATAGGGCCATCAACCAGAAGACTTACTCAAGGGTATTAAAGTTGTTAGCTCTCCAAAATGTTGGAGTGAGGTGATCTTGACCACTGCTGCAGGAGCTCTCATCCTGCACCTCAGTGCCCTTGCTTCTCTTCCCACATCAATGCTACCCTTCTGGCCTTCCCTCCATTCTTTCTGCAGGCTGCAAAGATCACTCTGAGCTCCAAGTGCTTGGAAGATACCCCTTCATTCAGACACAGCTCCAGGTGCCCTACTTCCCTGAACATATGCTTCTGCCTTTCTCCCACAACATCCTTGATAACACATCTACATATGTACATATTAGCCTTAAGCCTACATAAAAAGTGGTGAGGAGGAGGGCCCTGCACCTTTTATATTAATGATTTTTTGGGAACTGAAGCAGAGTGGAATACGTCCACACTTAGATGCACAAGTACCATGTAAATACTTAGAGGTAGAATAAGATCTGCCCCCTTGACACCGACTCCCTTTGCCTGGGAAGCTATACCTATTAAAGGTTTACAATTATGAATTACATCTTATTTTCTTAGCTGGAATGTAATATAATAATTTAAAAAAAACACATATAAAAGAAACATTATTATTCAGGTTGTAAACTCAAGGTGTTAAAAGTTAGGAAATGCTAGAGTTAAGGTTGCCTCTGCAGCCTGGGTTCAGTCCCCTGATTCACACATTATGCTATCATCTTTAATTATAAGATTGTGGATTTTTTTATCCATACTACTCTAGAGATAAATGTCATACTGAAAGTAGTCAGGTTTCTGCACAAACCCCATTTATTACCAAACTTGGAAGCTGTGGACTGAATAAGATGGGATAACAGGAAGAGAGATGACTGTCCCAGGGAAAAGGCATTGGAACCCCACACTGGAGAATTAGATTCCATCCCTGCCTCTGCCCCAGGTTTTCTAGGCAAGTCACTTAAACCAAACCAGTCACAAAGGATCCTTAACTGTGTTTTCCTCATAATCTGGGTGCCAAACCACCTGAAACCCTGGGGGCTGATTTGTACAAGCATTTACAACTGCAGCTGAACTCAAAGGAAACTATGTTTTGAAACTATAAAGTGCTATCTAATGTTAAGTATTCTAACAAATTAGGCCTTAAGTGTTTCAAATTGGCACCCAAAATTCACAGCACCTCTTGATTTGGCTACTTTCTAATGCTACTAGATGCTTTTGGCTCAATTTGCCACCAGTACAATGGGAATACCAACGTGTGGTTTTGACAAGACTGCTGTAAAAAAAGTACCAATGCATGTTTTGGAGGTATCTGTGTACAACTTAGTTTTTGCACTTCCTGTCATCATAACCCCTGGACTGAGTTTTGGACTGAGTTTTGAATTAACTCCTTTGGGTTCTCCAGTTCTCTATTAAAGATTTCCGACCCATGTCCTCTCAACAGCTTTCTCCAGCAACTCTCAGGTTGATGCCTGTGGCAGCTAAAATAGATACAGATTTACCTGCACAGATCCCCAGACCAAGCTATTGACTGTTAAGAAAGGGCTTTAGCTGAATAAGCTTGTTGGTCATAACCTGCACCTTACCCCTTTGCTATACTAACCTTTCTCCCAGAAAAATTAGGATTCTGTTTAACTTCAGTCCAAGTCTTGCTCTTTCCAACCTACCTCAAGCTTCTGACTTTGCTTTTATGCTGTTCTTTCCCAGATCAAAGTGTCATCTATGTATGGATCTTTGTACCTGTTATACCATCAACAGGCTGTATCGGCCATAATTTGGAAACTAAAATGTGTTGCTTTATAGGCTGTTAACATGTTCTTATTTACAAATTTATCCAATTCTTTGGAGTCTGTACATAAACATAATGTTCTCTCATTTCTATTTATTATGAGCAACAAGTTGACCCCATCTGCTGATTGTTTGACAGGTATTCCAGATCACCTTCACCATTAAGAGAGTGTGCAGACATCCTTCTTATATGGACCTCATTATCCTGGTGCAGCTGCCAAGTTGATATTTGCACTTTCAAGCAATCATAGTTTCTACCAGAGGAAATAACAAGTTGCCCTATTTCTGATCAGCAACTACTCAGATAGCCAGTCACTATCAATCCAATGTGGACAAGCCCTAAGCACACTAAAAGTTCTCAGTGTGAACAGAAATTCCATCCATAAACCATTCAGAATAAATGTAGGGGGTGTCTACTCAACAAAGGTGAAGCACAAAGATAATCCAAACTGTGTGTTACACAACTGTCAAAGCCTAACTGCAGCTAAAAGTAAGTTTTGAATTAGTTACTTCCAATATACAATACCAATGTGCAGCAGAATGGAGCTCAGCATGAGCTACAAATAATCCTGGGACCCTGAGTCCACTAAGCTACACTGAGCTCCATGCCTTACATGAGCTGCAGTCACACCTTTGGTGGCTGGGTGGACACAGTTTGAATCACCTGCTGATTGAAATGTGTGAAGTAATACTATTTTAACAGCAGGGGACTGGATCCTCAGGATTATTCTTTCCTGAGAGAGCTTTGAAAGACTCTCCTAGGCAAGTGACGTTCAGCTTTGATTTAAAATGCATACATGGATGTAGGTGCATGTGTTCTAAGAATATCAACACATAAAAAGCTTACAATTTCATTATATCCACAAGAGACTGCCTTTAATTTTAAACCCTACTAGAGTGAAATGGAAACTTGGTTCTTATTTTGTCTGAACCCTTCAAGAAATATAATGCATGGATTTTGTACATGTGTGTTTGATTCTGTTTTCACTGCACACTCAGATATCATAATGATTCCAACAAAGAGTAGGAAACAAGTGTTTACAGAGGACATGCAGGGACTCTGAGATTTTTTTAATTCACATTCAAAATGATTTGCAAACACTGACCTTCCTACTTCAATAGCAATTCAAGTAGTAGCCCTGCCTACATAACAGTGTGAAGTTGGGTGAAAAGCAGCAGCTGAATGCTTTGTTAATACAAGGTGCAGATTTGAATTCATTCAACTTATCTCAGAACAATCATCATGTTTATCTTACCCACTCTGCAGAGATACTACCCACCAGAAACCTAGCTCAACTGTAGATAGCAGGCTGGCAGTACAGTTGATTTGTCTAACTCAATGGTTCTCAACCTCTTTAGACTCCAAGTACCCTCAGAAAATACTGGCTCTTAGTTTTCACTTGGTTCTTTTGACTAGGGAAAAATAGTACAGCAGTTTTTCTGTTCAAAGAATTCAGAAAGACCACAATAGGTCAGAATGTTTCTAACAGTATATTCCTATTTTAAATCTCTGGGTTTATCCTGTGAGACATGTTTGAACACCTAATAGCATTAACATTACATGGCACCCCTGAAAGGATCTCAAGCCACCCTGCTTGAGAATCACTGGTTTAACAGATAGTACTGAAATTATGGAA